TGACCATGAAGTCTAAGCTGACAGACATGGGAAATGAGTTCAGGAGGAAACTCATAGCCTGGGAGAATGAGAGATAGAGTGCAAATTACCATTTAGGGAAGCAGGATGGGTCTAGAAGCCAAAAGCAGTAAATTAGAAATTAGAAGTCCCAGGATAAGGTCACAGCCAATATTAACAAGCCATGGATCCTCGGCAAAGATAACATTTTTGAGGCCTCTTTCCTCCACCCTGGGTTAAAGTATGTAAAATGCCAAGTAAGAACAGTGGCTTGCATACAGTAAGCACTCTGTAACTATATACTAATTGTTGCTGTTTTAAAATTATATACTATTTAATACACACATATGAAGCATAGTAAGATAAATACCAGGAGGGGCGCCTGGGTGGCTTAAGTCAGTTAAGCGACTGCTTTCAGCTTGGGTCATGATCCCAGGGTCCTGGGATTGGGTCCCCGTGCTGGGCTCTCTGCTCAGCAGGGAGCCTGCTTCTCCCTCTCCCTCTGCTTGCTTATGTGCTCTCTGTCAAATGAAATCTTTAAAAAAAAGGATAAATAATACCATGAAAGCTACCATCCAACTTACTGAACAGAATATTAATACACTATGTTTTTTCCTGGTCCCATTCCCCCGGCTTCTCCCCTGAAGGTAACCACTGTCTTGAATTTTGTGTTTATGATTTTCTTTTTTTTAAATGTTATGTCTCACATTTGTACAGGGCCTGTTTTTCTTCCAATTTTTTTTTAACATATAATGTATTATTTGTTTCAAGGCTACAGGTCTGTGATTCATCAGTCTTACACAATTCACAGTGCTCACCATAGCACATACCCTCCCCAGTGTCTATCACCCAGCCACCCCATCCCTCCCACCCCCCTCCACTCCAGCAACCCTCAGTTTCCTGAGATTAAGAGCCTCTTATGGTTTGTCTCCCTCTCTGGTTTCATCTTGTTTCATTTTTCCCTCCCTTCCCCTATGATCCTCTGTCTTGTTTCTCAAATTCCTCAAATCAGTGAGATCATATACTTGTCTTTCTCTGATTGACTTATTTCACTTGGCATAATACCCTCTAGTTCCATCCACGTCGTTGCAAATGGCAAGATTTCATTTTTTGATGGCTGCATAATATTCCATTGTATGTACATATCACACCTTCTTTCTCCATTCATCTGTTGATGGACATCTAGGCTCTTTCCATAGTTTGGCTATTGTGGACATCGCTGTTATAAATATTGGGGTGCATGTGCCCCTTCGGATCACTACATTTGTATCTTTGGGGTAAATACCCAGTAGTGCACTTGCTGTGTTGTAGGGTAGTTCTATTTTCAACTTTTTAAGGAACCTCCATAATGTTTTCCAGAGTAGGGCCTGTTTCTTCATATGTTAAGATGAAGCTTTGGATTATGTGCTCGCTAAGCTCCCTTTCAGCTCCAAGGGTATATGAGATATGATGGGCATCAAAGTTACATACCTAGTGGAACCATATAATAAATGCTTATTTTTCAAGGGTTTTATAGAGCTAAAACACTCACTCTTCTGTTGAAATCTCCAATTCAACAAAAGGGTATCTCAATGGAGTTTCTAATCTCAAGATCAAGACTTTCCATCACTTTCAATTTGCACCTCTGCTAGAAAGTTCTACTCTAGAGAAAACCAACACAAGGAGCTAAATAAGCTAAGCCCCTGACCCTGTCCAGTGAAAACCTGAAACCCAAGCCTGAGGAAATAGAACTGAAACAGTTGAACTAGGAAAACATATTTATTTCAGTGACAAGTATTTTAATAAAAATGAGGAGGCACAGCTGGGTTCATATGCAATTTTTCATACAACCTGGATTTATTTCCTCCATACAATTGCGTGTGTGCGAAGGAGTATCTGAGTGAAGAAATCATACATCTGCA